GGTCACAGACACTTAGCCCAGTGTTTGGGTCAGAGAGGAGGACAAATGTCTCCAGTTATCAGAAAACAGAAAGGGGGGACAGGCATGGAGCCCCCCCACAAAAGAGATGATTAAGCCATGCAAATCAACGGCCAATCTAAACCAAATGCGTATTAGCTGGGTGTGGTGGGGCATTGCAATCTCAGTGTTCAGAACCAGGAAGAATTGCAGGCTCCCCAGTGAGATCCCATCTCACACATCCCAAGAAAAAAATCATTGAGATGTAGCCTACTTTTCATACCAAGGTTTTGAAATCCCATTATGGGCAGCTCAACTCAGACTCGCCACAGTTCTAGAGCCCAGTAGGCACCTGTGGCTCATGGCTGCACACTGGTCAGTGTCTCTTTTGAGATAGGGTCCTGTACGTAGCCCAGGCTAACATAAAACTCTCGGCCCAGATGCTTAAGCACCGGCGTTGCAGTCTGACTAGGTAATTCTGATATGCCTGTCCATGAAAGGTGGTCACAGAGAAGTCTGAGTTCCCTTAGGGGACTTTAGACTCAGTCAGCACATGCCAGGAAGAGAAATGACCAAATACTTTAAGTGGACACGGTTTTGCAACCCAGCTCTACTTCCCCTGTCCTTGAACAAGTTAGCTAGCCAAACACCCATTCCCTTATTTGCAGAATTCAGATGACAGTGTCAGCCCTTCTGCACAGATCTGTACCTGGTTCTCAAATGTGGATTGTGGGTATTTGCATCTGAGATTGACAAAGGCAAGACAGCCTCTTTAAAACTCAATTCTTCACACAGTACACCATGTACTTCAGACTAGAAATGAGTGTCTTTGCATTTGCCCAGTGTTCAGATTTTCCCAACCCAGAAAAGTTCTCTCAGTACAATAAATGAAAGTTCCATTGCAGTTCATAACTGTTATAATCACACCGTTTGAAAAGTGTGAGCTTGGATCTTCCTTTGTTGTAAGGTTCATGAAGCTATCTTTCAATACCAATAGTCTCAGTTTGCTGAGCTGACACAGAGTTCAAACAGCACAGAACAAGCTCAAATGACTGGGCATGTATTCACCCCGAAGGGTAGCGGGCCAAGCCTACCAGCTGCTAGATTAATTAGCTATGAGGGGGCCCAGAACACCTCAGAGCTTTTCAGTTCCTGACTGTTACAGTGTATTGCCAATTTCCACTACCTTGAAGAACACACACATCATGAATTAGCACAAACACGTTTATTTAGTAACCAAAGGAACTAACCATAGGGAAGCCAACACTTCAGCATGGGTTTCACGTGAAGTGTTGGTGATAACGGCAACTGGAAAACAGTCACGGGAAATAAAACCGAAGGACAGAAGCTCTGTGGATTTTCATGACCTGCTCATTGAACTGAGCGGGTTCACCCTCGCCGCTAATTCCTGTCGAGGGTGCTGATGAAATGCTCACTCCACCTTTTCGTACACCCGAGTGCAGGTCACATTGTTCATGACACAATCCTAGAGGGAGAGAAGACGCAAAGTCAGGCCGCTGGCGCCTTCCAGGGCATGGGGAACAGGAACGCCTCACAGCCAGAATCCTGTGAAATCTCGTCACAGACCTTGCTCATGGTTGGAGACAGTGCGTTTTGGGATCCCTGGACGTGGGCGGGGCTGGGACCATTTGCTATCCTGAAGACCAGAGCGCTGAATATGATCTCTGAATTACTCACTTGGTTTCCGAAAATATCCCTTACTTTAAATAAATTACATATGTGTGTGTGTGTGTGTGTGTGTGTGTGTACAAGAGGGCTGCTTGGTAGCCTGCCAAGCTCTCCGTGGTGCAGGTGCAGCAGGAAGAAACTGTTCTAGCTACAATCTGGGAAATCACAACACTTCTCTGCCCCCCCACCTCTTAGTAATGACTGCTCTCAGCTTTAAATTGTTATTTTGAGTATTTTCCTCCTAAATCTCCCCCTCTCAAAAAAAAAAAAAAAAACAACATAAAGAACAATTGTGGCGCCTTGTGGCCGCCAGCCCAGATCCCAGTGCAACCCAAGCACTTACCACCACCAGCTTCCCATCCTTCACTTTTCTTGTTATGGTGCTTTCCTTGCCATCCCAGTTCTGGTGCTGGACCAGAGCGCCGTCGGTGAAGGTGCAGACGGTCTGCAGAAGCACAGGGGTATCCGTTAGTTAATCTCCCAGAAGCACAAGCTTTCCCACGGCCCACCCCACACCCGGCCATGTCTTCATCATTTCCTCTGCATCCGCCACGCTGATTTTATTCACAGTGCGCTTTTTCCGTCTAGAAAACTCCTAAGACGTTTCCCATTTGACGGTCCCAGGAATTCTACCAATTTTTTTTTTTTCAAAATTCAGCTTCGTGAAGCAACTTTCATACTACGTTCTTGGCAGCAAGTCAGAGATGTTATCAGTGGGAGCTAACCTGCCATTCTAGAAGCCCCCGCTCATTTCACCGACAAGTAATAGCTGACCTGAGTTTTCCTGCCATCGGCTGTAGTTTCCTCAAACTTCTCCCCCAGGGTACAAGAAAACTGAGTTGTCTTCAAAGTGCTCTCAGTCTTGATGGTGATATTGTTGCCGTCACAAGTGATGATGCAGTCTGGTTTGGCCATGGCACCCATTTTCCTGAGAGCTAGTCCCACTCCTGTGTGACGGGAAGTGACATCAAAAACCAATTACAATTTACCCAACAGAGGCAATGATTTAGTCGCCATCATCTCTTCTGCCTGGCCTATTCCCATGCACTCAATGATGTGCACACATCCTGCATGATGCGACATAATGCATGTAAGCCTCTTGGTCTCCCTGAGCTTGGGGGGGGGGTGGGGTGGCTATGTCTCAGTTGGACTGGAGAGAGAGCTGGGCAGCAGTCACAGAACTGGAGGCCATGGTCTCACACACACACACACACACACACACACACACACACACACACACGTGCTCCAGCACTCAGGAGGTGGAGCAGGAGGCTTGAAAGTTCAGTCTAAGGTCCTGAAATAAAACAAAATTACAGAGCAGGTGGGAGATGGTGAAAGATAAAGTACTTAAAGGATCCTAGTTGGGCCCTTCTGCACACCAGATCCAGTCAGCTACTGTACTCTCCAGCCAGCACACAGCAGGCCCCTGGTAAACAGTTAACAGACTACACAGCTGTGATGTTAAGTGTGTGTGTGCAGGGGAACAGCCCGTTAAGGAGCAAACATTTCAAAGCTGTGTAATATAATATTTTCCATGGTTAGACTCTTCCTGTATATCAGGGACCTGCCGATGCTATCTAAAAACATGTAGTATTCGTCTATCTGATTGATTTTTATTTTGTGTAGTCTGTTTACTTACAGTAGTTACACGGGTATGAAATTCCACATGACTACAAATTAGCTTGTAATCTACGCAGTGACAACCTTCATAAGAAACCTGGGATATTTTCACAAGAGTGGAGGCGACGGCCCAGGCCCAAGTAATGTGACTTATCCCGACGTTCAGCCAGGCACCTGTGCTCTCAGAGCCTTCCACCTTGCCCAGTGCCTATGGGGGAGGCCTGATAACCTCCCCAACTCCAGACCCTCAAGACCAGCCACTCAAGCATAAGCAAGCAGTGCTCAAACCCCGGAAAGACTTGGGCGAGGTTAGCAAACGACGATCTCCAGACTCATTCCGATTTAGCCCTCCACTGGGCAAAGGGAAAAAGGCAAAAAAAGCCTTCATTCGCTACCGACACTATTAGGAATGCAAGCATGATTCATCAGGAGCCAGACTTGACCCCACAGTGTGCTGGACGCTGGCTAAAAGAGAATGAAGGCTCCTGAAGTGCACAGGGAGTCGTCAAGCCAGTGTCTCTGGGATACTGGTGACAGCAGCTTGTACAGCTGCCTCCTGGTCGCGGCAGCATCTTTCCCGAGAGAATCCCCACTCAGCTGACTCCATCCCACTCCGAGGCATCTGTGACAAAGGGCTCATCTTTTGTTTGTGTGCTCTACCTGTCTACATGCCATCCCTCTCTTAAGCATAGGCAAAAGCGGCGCCATTTCCGGTGAGAGTGAGCCTGAATCGTGCTCACTCTCGGGTTGGGTTTTTAAGCGGTTCCTGCAAGTGGCCGCTGCAAGGCCACACCCATCGTGTAGCGATGAGCAACCGCAGGCAGGCCAGCAGTTTCTGATTATGGGTTTTCCAGCCAACCCCATGGTCCTCTAGCTCCTCGCCCTCCAGACTCAAGGGACAGAGCAGGGCTACAGCCACGCCCAGTGGGTTTCTCGTGCTGCTTAGCCCACAGGCCACTAGCTGCCTGTCTCCAGAATGAGCAGAGCCAGCAGCCCCGGTCCAGCGCCTCGGGAGCCACGCCTAGCCAAGGGCGAGGAGAGGAGCCGGGAGATGCTGCAGAGAAAGGGACCCGGGAGCATCCTCATCCACAGCCTCTAAGGGGCTCCTGCGGAAACCACGCCCTACCCACACGGTGTCCCCCAACCCCGACGGAGGTGGGGTGGGGGGGGAAGGGGACTCGCGCCACCGAGGAACAAAAGATGCGGGCGGCGGGGTGGGGGGTGAGGGGAGGAGTGGGTGCCGCCACGCAGAGGGCGGGTGTGCTGGGGCAGGGCGGTGGCACCTGGTGAGGATAACGAACATGGAACGTTGGGGGGGGGGTGTCCACGGCAGCACGCACGGCTAGCACCCGCCCCTGCAGGTCCGGAAGCAGCGAGCGAGGGGCTGCCTCGTGGAGCGGGAAGCAGAAGGGAAGCGGGCTGGTTCACCTCGTCCTGGCCGGGTCTGGGCGGCCAGGGCGCCCGCTCCATCCGTGCGGCCGCGCGGTGCTCCGGGGACCGCGTGGTGGAAGGGAACCAACGCATGCCCACGGGGGATGCCGGCACCCGGGGCTTCCGGCGGTGTGTCCTCACCTAGCTCCTTCATGTACTCCTCAAAGCCTTGGCTCTCCGTCAGGCGCCACTTCCCCTCGAGGTCCTTAATGCTGGCCATGGCGGGCGATCGGGCGGGCAAGCACCAGAGCAGCTGCGGGGAGACGCGGTGGCGGGGGCGCTGTGCGGCTTTGCGCGCCACCGCGGCTTATATCGCCATGGTGTGGGGAGGTGTCCGACAGCCAATAGGAGGTGCGCCTCGCCCGGGCCACGCCCCTAGCCACGCCCGGGACTCCCGTACGCCCCCGGGGCCGGGCCAAGGGGGTCCGAGGTGCCACCCTGGCTCGGAGGCCGTGCGTCTCCCGCAGCTCGTGCAAGCTGCGACTCGCCTGGCGCGCCCTGCTCCGTCCGGCACAGCCCCGCGGGTCGGCGCGCCCCGGAACCCACCCCGCCGCCATCCAGGGTCAGCCTGGACCCCTGCCTGGGGCCTGCGCACCACGCTCCCACCGCCCAAGCCGCGCACGTTTGCTTTTGCTAAGTTCCCGTGAGGAACTGGGTTGGCCAACGCGTGGCGCTACGGGCACTGATTGGCTGACTAATGAGTTAACTGGTAAACTGCAGTCTCCTTAACCTTGCTTGACAAACCTGCATGCATCCTACCCCCTCAGAGAGAACCGGCTGACCCCACCCTCCCGCTTCCCGGGGGTGGGGGTGGGGGTGGGGGCTGACCAGGGCCTCCTCGTGGGTTCTCTGCCTGAGTTGCCTTAGACAACCTTAGCAGCAGCTTCTGGGTGAGATTAGAATGACTCTGGAAATTGGGTTCCGCCACCAAACTGTAGCAAGTTTCAGCTTAGGTGGCTGCCATTACCACTGAAGAATCTTCCTGGTTTCCAGTCCCCTAGCAGAGATCAAAACTATGGCTTTCCCTATTCTTCAAGGTTGTCCGGTGGAGTTATGAATTAGTAAATTGGCTCGAATACATCGATATACATATATACATATATATGTATATATACATACATATACATATACATATACATATACATATATATATGTTTTATCACTTCGATATGCACAGAAGGCCCCCACAATATGAGACTGAGTTCAAGGAGAGTCCGTGGATAGGAGCTGGCAGATAGAAGGAATCCCCAGCTACAGGAGGCTTCGGGAAGACATCTGGAACACAGTTTACAAGGCCATGAGAAGAGGCTCTGTATGGCGAATAAATGTTATGGAGAGCCTGAATTAAACAAGGTCTCGCATAGCCTAGGTTAACCTCAAAATTTTGTATGAAGCCAAAAGGGACCTTGAGCCAAAAGGAATCCGTCTTCAGCTACCAAGAGCAGAGATTTCAGGCATGTCCAACACACCTTGCTAAGACTGTCATTGCACAGAGAAAGTCAAGAACAAAATGCATACATCGTTAGTGAACACAACTATTGATTTTCACTTTCAGCGCAGTATTTAATAAGTTACCTGTTCTAGTATACACTTTGGTATGGCACCCGTTTGTATTAGATGATTTTGCCCAACTACAAGCATTTGAGGGCAGTTGAGCCATGGTTTTATTTTGTGTTTTGTTTTTTTTTTTTTTTAAACCAGGTTGGGTACATACAATAACTCCGAATGAACTTATTCACAGATAAGCCCCTCTAAATTGAGGTGCATCTGTGCTTCAGTAATTCTGACTTCCCGTCTGTCTCGGGAATAAAGTTCTTGCTTCAGATCCCCAGCACTCACATAAAAGCTGGGTGCAAGTGTCTGCGCCCCCAGAACTGAGTGAGGGGTTGGAGACAGGCAGGTTCACTGGTACAGCCAGACCAGCCATTTTTCAAGCTCGAGGTTCAGCGAGAGACAGAGGACAGCTGATGTCAGCCTCTGGCTTCTACACAAGTGTGTACCCATGCAGGCGTGTACATGTACATACACATGACAATTTATAGCTACAACATCATTTCAAAGCTATTTGGGAACCTTGGGATCCTCAGACTGGCTCAAAATATTCCAGACACATCTACTAATGTCGTATGTTGCTGTGATACGTCCTGAGCCCAAACATTCCACCCCTCCGTTCACTTTTTTCTGCCACTGATTGCTTGCGGAGGAGGGTTATCCCGGTTTTGGGGGAAGAGGAAATGAGCTGAGAAGGGTCGGTACCGCAGAGCAGTAGAACCTGCTCGGAGGACTTTCCCACCAAAGCCTTGTGAAACAAGACCACACCTGCCTGTCTTCTGCTCACAGGTGCTTGCGAGGGAGGTGAGGGCAGAGGCCACAGCCACTCTGCCAAGACAGTAATCATCGTGCCATCTCTCGCACAACTAAAATCCGAGCCCAGCCAGCCTGCCGCAAGGAGTTCCCCGCCCCTAGCCCCCTTTATTATAAGTTCCTACTCCAACACTGGGGTCTGAGCCCCACAGTACAGTTTACCAGCGACTTGGCCAATGTTACGGTCCCAGTAAGGGTCTGAGACCCCACACACACACCCGAGAGCCCGCTGCTCAGAAAGCAAGGATGTTCTGAAGGACACTAAGCACATCGCGGGCTCCTGAGGCAAGTGCTGCTGCTTCTGGGTTGGGAGCCTGGCAGGCTGGCTCCCTCGTGCCAGGACTCCAGTTCATCATGCACTGTCCTGACCTGTTTTCTCAGTGTTGGATCCAAAGTGGTGATGATAGCCAAGATTCAGCACCAACGTATGTTTTTTTTTCTTTTTCTTTTTGCTGTGATGAGTAGAACTAATCCTTTTGTAGTTAAATACGTCTCAGAGAGGCATGAAGCTGAAACACCCATTAGTGTCTGATGCAACCAGCAAGGCCTTCATCGGGGCAACACAGTCAATACCTAACTCTTGGATGCCTCACTCGAGCATCCAAAGGTTATATTATATGCATTTATAAATTGTGTGTGTGTGTGCGCGTGCGTGTGTAACTGTGACCACATGCATTTGCCCATTTGCATATGCTGTATGAATATGTGTACACAGAACTACCCAGTAATCTTAACATTTGTACACTTTTATATACTGGGTTCCCTGATTTCACACATTGCAAATATTAGCTGTGACCATTTCTAGTGCCTGAACACATGGTTTGGGAGTACATTTGCTGTTGGCATTCTTTTCCAACACACTGAATAACCTGCATCCAGTTCCAAGTCTATCCCTGAAATAGATATCATCTACTAGCCTGTGGGTACGTTCAGATTCCCACACATCCCTGGCCCACAGAGTTCACCCTCAACCTACAGGGCCACCTCTGGTGTGAGCAGGTTAGTAATTTCAAGGCGTGATCAACCTCGATCTCTTAGGAGCAGCCGGTGCCGTCTGGGCTGTTGGCTTTAGCAATGCGTTCACTTGCTTCTAGAAAGTTTGTGAACAAATTTGAAGAGGTCACCAAGAAATCCCTGTCAAAGGCCTTGGACTCTTACGTCACCCAAACAGGGAATGATAAAAAATTCAGTTCTGAACAGTTAGCTTTCTTCTTTGAAAACCACAGTACCTGTTCTACTGGGGACACCCAGTCATTCTCCGAAACAGCCCTGTAAAAAAGGGACACCCCATTGTTGGAAACAGATAAAGGATAGAGAATTCCGGGCGGTTTTTCCTCTAGTCACCTGAGAACAGATGAGGTAGACGCAAAGTTACCTGCATCTCGGAGGAAGTACTGTGGCAATAGCTCATGGCCCTGGACAAAGACGCTCACAAATCTCTCTATTTCCACCTAGTGGCGGTAGTGAAATACTTCTGCCGGGCTCTGTTTGATTCACACTGGTGGCCTGTTGGCGTTCACATCCCACGGGAATGCGTGTGACACTTTGGAACACAGTGGTTTCATTTACAGACACCCCAGTTGCTCCTGATGTAGGCAGGTGCAGCTCCCACAAGGTCCACCATTCTATAAAGTCCTTCCTACGGGCGGTACGCATTAGTAACCAAGAGCATGCAGCAGATGGGCAAGAAAGAGAGAATGCCACGTTAGAGAAATATGGCACAGAATGCCCACAGTGATCCATGTTTAACTAGTTCACCTAGAGAAAACGGTCTTCTCTAAGTGCCAGGCAAGATGAATTTTAAACAAGCAGAAGAGCGGTCTCTTCGCTTCTTCATGGATATCACAGGATGCACCTTATTTTGCCTGTCACTTGTCCCAAAGTCGGCGGACACAAAAGTCACCACTGTGTGGGGAAAGGGTATGCTCGGCATTGCCTGTGCCGGCCCACGCCTCTATTCCTGCACAGACCTGCAGTCTTATCACTCTTGAGACTGAGACAGGAAGCTTGCTCAGAGTACCATCATCCCAGATTATGGAGCCAGTACCTAGTTCAGCCAGGGAAATAGATCGAGAACCATCTCAGAATCCCAACAGCAGGCACATGGCGACGCTTGCATTCTGAAACACATATATTTTAAATCCTACCTTCTAAAACGGGCTTAAATTGAGATCATGATTCCTCAGTGGTAGCAACCATTCTGCCTGAGACATGCAAGTATAGAGATCTGTCTACTTAGAAAACTGAACGTGACTCATTGGAAGCCCTGGTTCCTTGTGATTCCATGGGGGGGGGGTCACTCGTTTGACGAAACCATTGCTACACAAAACAGAGGATGTGTGCAGCCGGGCCCGGTTCAATGGATAAAGTTTTGGGTTTATAGCTCCTGGGGTCAAATCTAGGGCCTTGAGCATGTTAGGAAAAGCTCTATAACTATATCTCCATCCCCTTATCACCCATCTTGAAACTTCAAAATACAGAGTTTTTCTTTACAGGGGTACCAGACTTCCTTTTCAGTGCTCAGGACCAGAAAGGAATGGCCCTCACATACCAGGGGCTCTTAAATATGGCCTTGAAATCTTTTTGTCACTCCTGATGACTAAAACGTGTTGCCTGAGTGAGCTCCAAACTTCAGTCTTTCTAGAACGAAGATTCACACTGAGATATCCTTGAGTTTGTCACCATTATATTTGTTCCATCGACAAATCAGCAACAAATCAGACCTCTGATTTGAGGTCTCCCCTTCCTACTCTGCACTCCCTCCTCTCCACACTCAGACAGATGTACCCTTTTGGCCGAGGAAAGGGTACAACTCTTCATATTGCTTTCTTATTATTATCCACAGGCACTTGGGCTAATGAGTATCGAGATCCGAGGACAACAGAGAATCAACGGGATC